TGACCCTTAGATTGTTACCTGGTGGAGTGCAGTTCAAAGCCTTTTCTTTTGTAATCATAATAATGCCTTGTCTTAATGCAGCCGTGGTGCTTGGAGGAGTTCAAAGGGTTTTTGCTAGACCAGTGCTCTGAGCCTTGTGATCTTGGGGGAGCTGCCCTGCCCCCAGAATCAAGATGAAGGCTTTTAGGGAGCTTGCTGCCCCAGGGATGGAAGGTTTCCATGAGCATGCAAGGTACAGGGCTAAGTGTGGGCGTGTTCCCGGTCAGTCTCATGGCCCGTCTGCGGGGACAATTCTCTTTACACAGGGCGGGAAACTGGGGCCAGTCCAAGGGACACGGGGAATAAGTGGTCAAACTGGGGACAGAAATCCAAGCCTGGTGGTCTCTGAAACCCCAGGTCTCCATGGGGTTGAGGGGACAGGTCTCTCATACCGCCCAGAGCAGAGCAGCGGCCTTCTCATTCTCGAGAGCAGGACCGGCAAATGGGCTCACAGGCCATATGCGACTCCTGGTGCATACATGTGTCTCTGAAATAAAATGGGAAATAAGAATAACATTATCCACCAGATAATGGTTATTTCATTTGCCTGTGAAAATATATTTGTGGCTCTTCAATCATTTTTAAATGTTGTGAGGCTCAAAAGTGTGCTAACCCCCGCTGGAGAGCATTCCAGGCACGAGTGGGGAGGCTGTGGGCCCTGTGGGGCACCGTCGTCACCAGGATGGGGGTCCCAAAGCCCAGACGAGCTGAGAAAGGCTTGCTTAGCTTGTGGTGCAGTAACCGGACACCAGAAACCGGGCCAGACCCAGGGTGCCCCCTACAGCCCCTGTGCCTCCTGATTTTGCCACAACGTCCCCTGAGGCAGTCCTGGGATCCTCAGGGACCTCCCTCCTCTCTCCCCCTCCAGGCCTTTTAAACCTGGAGAAGCTGCTCCGGCAATTCCTTATCTCCAAGGATACCCTCTCAGTCCGGATGCTGGATGACACCCGGGACCCCACCCCACTCCTCAAGGAGATCCGGGACGACAAGACAGCCACCATCATCATCCACGCCAACGCCTCCATGTCCCACACCATCCTCCTCAAGGTGGGAGCCGGGCGGGGCGGGGCTGAGGGAACCCCAGAACTCCCCTTCCGTCCCACTGCCTCTCTCCCTTCTTCCCCTGGCATCCCTCCTAACCTGCGGCGTCCCCTGTTCATGGACTCGGACAAACTTCTCGCTGTGCTTCAAGTTCAAGGTGCAGTCCCGAAAGCTGAAAGAAGTAACCAGAGTTGCGGTGATGACCTTAAAACTATTTGCCACCTGATGCCGCAGGGTACCCCCTAGTTTGGACACTGGCCAAACCTTAACTTTGTGGAGAGGCCTGGTTCCCGGGAGGGTCTGGGTGGGTATAGTGCTTGGGTGCTTGGGAACTGGTGGCCGAGGCTGTTGCCAAGTGGTACATGCTAGCCAGGGCAATCCCACTGGTGGGCACTGCTGACCATGTGCCCTGGCTTCCGGGTCATCCTCCTATGTCATCCCCTCAGCGACTTGGGAGTGGTTATAATATCTTCACTTTACAGATGAAGAAACAGAGACTGCGAGATTGAAAATGGATCCGAGGCGCAGCCCTGGAAGTGGCAGACCTTCTCCCTCCCTATACCAGGGGGCTGCTTGCCAGCCCCGAGTCAGAATGCACATGAGGGGAAGCAAGGCAGAGTGAGAAAGGAAAAGCAGGAGCCCTGGAGGTGTAGTGGTTATGAGCTGGGCTGTTTACCACAAGGTCAGCAGTTTGAAACTGCCAGCTGCTCTTAGGGAGAAAGATGAGGCATTCTACTCCCGTAAAGAGTGACAGTCTTGGAAACCCACAGGGGCAGTTCTACCCTGTCCTGCAGGGTCCCTGAGTCAGAATCGACTCCAGGGCAGTGAGTGTGGTTTTCTGTTTGGAGGAGCCTGCCGGGACGACAAATCCTGCAGCCCTGGAGTCACCTACATGGGTCCCAGCTGATGGCTGGGCCAGCCAGGCATGCTTGGCAGTGAGGGCGAACCCTGCATCCTGGCTTCTCAGCAGCTTCCTCAGCCCCAGCCTCTCCGGCACAAGGGCCTCCTCTAAGTCCATTTTAATTGCGCATTCAGAAGCGCAGCCCACAGCCTTCCAGTGGGGGAGCCAGGCGTCTCCTTAACCTCTGCCAAGCTGCCTGCAGACACTTGGATGATTGTCTTCCCATCTCCCTCGCAAGCCCCTCCCCAGCTATTTTTTTGTCTCAGCGTTAATAAGAGATTTGAATGAGTTCTCTCAGGGCTGAAGGCTGTCCCTTCAGCCCGTTGCTATAGTAATTTTCCACAGCTCCAAAGCCAGTCTATCTCTCTGGTTCTCTGTCTCTCTCTCTTCCCCTTTTCTCTCTCTCACTAGTGCACACACACACACACACACACACACACACACACACACACATAATTTCGCCTGGGTTTCTGATCAATGAAGGCATCACAGCTATTTCAGGGGAGCAGAGATTCAGGCTGAGCAGGCAGACAGCACCTCAGCCTAGTTGCCAGACACGCTCCTGCCCCCCTGCTGGAGGACAGGCCAGGTTGCACAGCGCCTCCTGCAGGAGCTGGAGTATAAAATGCCCCCCCAAACCAAACCGAACACTGCCATGGAGTCATTCGGACTCCCAGCGACCCTACGGGACAGGGTAGAACTGTCCCTGTGGGTTGCCGAGGCTAATTGTTTACAGGAGTGGAAAGGCCCATCTTTTCTCCTGCAGCTGGTGCTTTCAAACTGCTGACCACGTGGTTAGCAGCCTGGAGCATAACCATCATGCCACCGGGAACTCGGCTGGCATACTGGTTAAGTGTCTGGCGGCTCACATCAGAGGTTGGTGGCTTGAATCCACTAGCTGCTCTGGCGGAGGAAGATGAGGCAGACTGCTTCCATAAAGACTGGCAGCCTTAGAAGCCCCCAGAGCAGTTCTGCACTGTCCTGTAGGGCTGTCGTGCGCTGAGATCTACTCCCCGCCCCGCACTGGGTGGGGGAAGATCCCCATGGCTCCCAGTGTGAGGGGCTGGGCTTTCCTTCTGTTTATTATTTAACAATATGGCTACACGTTAATTGCTGATACTTTGGAAAAGACAGAAAAGCATGTAGAAGAAAATAAAAATTATTCATTTGTCCATCATGCAGAGGTAACCACTATTAAACTCTGGTGCCTGTCTTTTCTGTCTTAAAGATTTCGTCTTTACTTCCTTCACCAAAATTACTCTCACACATCACATCTCTACTGTGACTTGATTATAGTAGAGATCTATAACTTGATTATACCGGGGGCCTTTACAAAATGTGGGGAAATTTAATGTTTGCTTCAACCCATTTGTTTCCCACAACTTTCTTAAGCCCTAGGCACCATGCAGCTGTCACAGGTCCTTAAGTCTTTGTCTATGGCTGCCTACGGTTGCCTTCCTCACGGCTGCACCACTTCCTGTCACGTGGATGCTCTGGACAAGCCGGCTGTTTCCAATCTTTTGCTCTAACAGATAAGGCTGCATTGCGTGCGCCGTTGTATATATCAATCTTCATGCACAGCACTGACTATTCTAATGCCTTTCTAGAAGAAAGGACTGAGTTGAAGGTGTGCCCGCCTTAGAGGATGTTGACGATTTGCCCAGTGGCTTTCTAGGAAGGCTGAAATGGCTTATGTTCCCATCCATGGCACAGGATTGAGTATACCTGTCTTATAGCACCCCTGTCAATATTGGGTATTTCCACTACAAAATGGTTCTGGTGACTGCTTTGAAGAAAACGCAGTCTCTCATGATCGCTGTTCACAAACAGTTCTGCCAAGTGACCAGTGGTCAGCTTCCCTGAGACCACCCACAGGTCTCGGCCCTGAAACCTTAGCGCTAAGCTGACCAGTGACTGGTGACCGAGGCTCAGGGAGACTCAGTTTATCTTTGCTTCCACTTTGATTTCCTAGCTGCTCCAGGCGAGAAAGATGAGGCTTTCTACTCCCATAAAGAGCTACAATCGGGAAAGCCCAGAGAGCACTTCCACCCTGCCCTAGAGGGTCGCTCTGGGTCCGAATCCACTTGCTGGCAGTGAGTCTGGAGTTTGGACTTCTGGTGATCTGCCCCAGACTTGCAGGCGCCCATCAGGCCTGGACTCAATCTCACGCTTCCCTGGGACCCTGTACTCCTCCTGGCATGGGGGTTGCTACCAGCAGAGCCTTTCAGGGGCCTGGAGAGGATGGGCTTAGTGTGGGAAGGCAGTGTGAGCAGACAGCACACGGTGCTTCTGGGAGACTCGGGTTATGCACATGTGAGCCTGGCCCGCAGAGCTTGGCAGCTCTCTGCTCTCTCTTGATTTCGGGAGGATTTGCAGAGTAATCCCCTACTTTATTGAACGGCTGTTCCAGCAACGAACTCCATGTTTACCCAGAATTCAGGTCTTAAAATCCAAGACTCTCTTGTCTTTGATCTTTAGGACAGCAGATTTCACAAAATGGGCTTTAACCATCTGACTGTGCCCTCACCCAGCCCCGGGCCTCAGCCCAGCCTGTCCCTGGAACCGGTGGGCTCACGCCGTCCTCTCACTGGCCAGAAAGAGCGGCAAGAGTGCTATCATGTGTACAATGTGGGTGTCTACATGCAGGAGGGAAGGCTCTTCAAGCCCCATTTTCCTCTTGGAAGTGCAAAGGAAATGTAGCTTTGCTGGGAGGAGGAAGAGGCCTCAGAAAGGAGGGAGGCCTGAGCCCTACTGTGGACCCCGGCGCTGCCTTGCCCCGTTCACACAGCCCTTCTGCACTTCCGTTTCCTGTTCAAATCATGGCAGTGTCTTTACCCTCAGCATGTCCTGCTAGGAAAGTTTGTGGGTTACTGTAAGAACACTCAAATGTGATTTGAGTTCCTTGGGAGATAAAGATGATGTAACGGAAAATGTAATCATCTCTGGACTTGTTCCTGTCCCGTGCACCTCAGTAGTCTTGACAAAAATGGTTTCCCAGTGGCCTGGGGCTACAGCAGGCATTATGAAAATCTAACAGATTGTCAGAAGGGATGAGGGCTCTGGGCGAGCTGGCCTCATTATTCACCTGTTCTTCTGTCGGTTTCTCCAGCACTGTCACACTCAAAGTCGGGCACACTGACAGAGAAGGTTGGTTAGGGGTATTGATGATGGGAATAAAGATCAGACAAACAGGAGATGGTTCTGAAGTAGCAATTCTGAACTGTGGGACAATGACACATTGGTGTGCTCTGGTCAAATGTGAGGGATGTCACAAGCAACTTGCTACTTCCTACTAATAAAGGGCCCAAGCTTGCAAATGGACCACTCCCTTCGTCCATTGCCACAGAGCCAAGGACACTCTCAGGGGCCTCTCTGGCACCTGACAGCTTCCTTGAGTGATCAAGAAGGGGGTGAAGTTCATTTGGGAATTGC